TTACTAACGAGTAATGATTTTTTACTAGATTATGACAAATTAAGGGTAAATTCTACTCTATAAGAAGTTAGTACAGCACACAGTATGATTTTCTGATAACTTTTTACTTATAGGAACAAGTTTAGAATTCATAACAATAACAAATCTGGAAGCGTGCTACTTTAAAGGAACTCCACTGAAGTCCAAATTAGAATTCCTTACAGAGAACATCTCGGGTACTTAAAACGAAAGATATGCAAATAATAATTAAGAAATATACTCAGAAATAAATTGAAAAATCGTATTTTTATGCTATTCTTAGCCCGAAAAAGGGTTACAACGCTTTTCGCTTTTTGTTGAATAATTATTCTGCAAAAATAGAGGCAGCATATGATCTGAAATTTCGCACACGAGTTACTGCTTTAAACCTACGTCAAATGTAACACTTCCGGTCCCAACATGTAAAAAAAACCTCAGTGGAGTCCCTTTAAGAAGTGTACATAAATTGTTTATTGGGAAAGGGTAGCTGTGGATTATGGAAATGAAATAGATAAATATATCATAGTTATCATACTTGATCAAATTTTATATCCAAAAATATTTTGTCCGAATGTAAGTCATTACAAGTCCCGTGTATCAAATTAAATGGCGGGATAGGTTCACTAAATTGATATATATCTTCTTTACTTTCATGATAAAACTGGAAATTGGAAACTTGTTCAATATTAGATCTGCATGGAGTAAACTTGATTAGGGACGCAATAAAGTAGATACAAGTGCTGCTGTTTAGCGAAAATTGTTAACACAAAATAAATCAAAACATGATAGATCAAGTAATGTTGTTGAAAAGATTATTTAGAACTTTACAGCTTCAAAGCATTTTTTATCAGAAAGTAAATTAAGTTTCAGTCGTGTTGCCAAGTACCAGTTTTTGTAATTTAAGTATTATCTAATTTAACTTCAAAACACATGCAACAAATAATACCAGTTAAAGAATAAGGGCGTATCAAGAACGGGTTCTTACGAATAAACTTAACGCGGAACGTGCATGAACAGGAAGTGATGTAATCAGTTTGTGTCACCAGTATATAACTAGTCTGTAGCCCGACCAGACTTTTTAGACTGGTTGGTTGCATAATTTGTGTTATTTTGATGTTGAATTCCCTTAATTTTCAAATGGACTGTTCCAAATCCAAAGCAGGACACATCTATTATACAATTTTAGTAGTTAAAGGTTTATAATATGATGGAGCAATACGTCAGAGCAATTATGACAATATTAACACAACACTATTATACATAAAAATCAGTTCTAAGCCTGATGCCTTGAAAATGATAACTGAATTCATTAAAAACACTAACTAAACAACTTTCGTGGACAATGCGTAATCGAAGACATATTTTTGAAATTTGTAATGAAAAATGGAAACATTTGTTGTGATCGTAAATGAGGTAAAAATTGACTGGAAAAATCAGCCTCTATAAGACACTCATTAATAGCAATGAGGTGAAGAACGTGTCATATTCTCGTTTGGCGTTGTTCCTGGAGTAATGGTAACGACGGTTGGCAGATGTGTTCCTAGAACCGACTTTGTCAAATCTGAAGTATCCAGGTCACGTGTTCACTAAGAAAAGGTCGGTCAAGATTAGGATTAAATGATCCTGACTTTATTTTTGTTGCTTTATTAAATTTAAATTGATGGTATTTTACTAGAATTAAATTGTACATCGACAAAATGTAAAAAAAAGCAAAACTGCCTATTTTGTGATAATATTAACGAATAACGAAACAAATACAACTGTAATTAGATCAAAATATATAGATCGATTTTAGGATCAGGATCAATACTTGGACCCATGTCTTATTAAATAACAATAAAATAATTCCAAAATTCATAAACTGTCTATCTTAAGTCCAATTTTAACAAGTTAATATTAAATATTAAATCTATGAGGATAAACAATGGAGAATATTTGAATTTTTGAATTTGGCCCTGATCTTAATCCTTATCCTTCAATCTTAGTGAACAAGGAACCAGGACTGGCGGACGTCAATGTAGTTTATTTGTAGCATTTAATTTTGTTTTTAAACTTGCATTTCTAAATGATCAACACAGAGCTAAACGGGTTTCACAAAATTAGAATTCATGGTTTGGTAGAGGTATTTATGGCTAAAATCTTAACGTACATCAGTGTCGCTTATTGCACGCGTCCATGAATTTTGAATAGAGGTATATCTGTTTAAGGGGAAGGACAATTTCGTTTTTGTGAAAGTCCGTGGTCTAACAAGAAACTGTCAAACTGTTGTTTCCACTCCACAATGTATTTTGTACTCCATTCGTTGAACTGAAGTTTCCACTCGACCTCCATTTCGGACATATCCGCTGAAACCATAAAAAATATATTCATGTCATGTTTAATATAAGTCATAGAGGATATTCTAGTTTTTTTTCTATAAATACAGAATTTATTTTCATCGAGTATAATGAAAATAAATATTTCATGGGTGACGGTAGCCACGAGTGAAATATCATAATTTTCATACCACAAGATGAAAATATGTCCTGTATTTATAGGAAAAAAATGAATTTTCTGTTTATTATATATTTTTGTCTTTTTTAACATTTCAATTTGAAAGACTTTCCCTTAAATTTTATGTACTGGCAGAATTTATATGAAAGTAGTCCGGTAAGACAGCGGTGAAAATGCGGAAAATATGTTTCACTACATTGAAAAATAAAATTTTACAGTGAAAAAAAAAACGGAAAATAAAAATACGCATTTTATTTCATCAATATATCTCAATATTTCATTTATAAGTATATAAAAAAAAGATTTCGTTTTGATGACGATTTTGGAAATAATATTTACTACGTATTACTTAATTACTAAACAACACACGATTTGCTTTGCCTTTAAAAAAGCGAAAACGATTTAAGAAAGATTTTCAATTAATCAACTTCTCTGTATCATTGTAATACTTAGTTTGCGATCATTTTTATACACAACCAAATAAATGCTATATTGTTAAATAAATATCAAATATATTGTTATATTTTTACATTACTTTTTTTTTCTAGATAAAAACTTTTCTCTTAATATTTAAGCAATGTTACAAAGTTACTGGTACTAAAAAAACTGTGGTAACATCAGTGTTACAAGAAATCCTAAATCTATATTCATAAATTTATAAAGCATGACTTACCACACATGTCCAAGCTGCTGATGAGGGTTATCCAAAATGCAATTCCAAAATGCATTTAGTGCGCATGCGTCAATAAAATCAACTCAAACGGTTATCAAAATCTGTGATGGTGTTAGATTGTTTGAGTTTGTTAATTAATGTTCATGACACACAAGGTTATGATTTCTGTATTAATGAATGGTTGTGAAGCAAACACTGGCAAAATATAATACAAACTGTAAGAAAAATATGTTAAGTTATGTTGTCGTAATATTCGTATTGAAATATCTGAAGAGGGTGTCAACCAAAATGTATCTATTATTCAATGCCACATAAATTAAATCAAGTGCGAATAAAAGCTTTCCCTAACAAAGCTTTCCATAGTTTTCTTTAATAGGTTTAAAAAATAAGATGATTTCAATGAAAGACAATTTATTGAATTAATATCTTAAATACCACTTAACTAATCAATGTGCAAACATTTTATGATAATATTATGGCAAGACTCTCTACGATTCAAAGCACGTTTTGTCGTTAAAGCAACCGAAAAATATATATTAATTTATACTGTCGCATTACCATTATCAACATTAAAATTCGTTCTTTCCATATACTTGAAACAATGGCACTAAAACTTATTTCTCGACATCTAAAGTTGTAGAGCTATATTGTACCTAGGTTTATTTTATCCATATTTGTTGACACGTGGGTACTAACTTGATACATAAAAATTGTCATTCCTAATCTTTAATTCTATATTTTAAATATTATAAAGATGATTTATCAGGAATGAAATTGTGTCTGAAGATGGCGTGATATGTGTTATGCATTCATTATAGATAATAATTGATTCATTCAAAGCACTGTGGGTCACATGCACATCACAATATCAGCGCTTACTGAGCAATCTTCCCCAGACTTCCCCGCTTTAATTGTGACATTAATTGTATGGCGTGACACTTGAAGCTGGAATTTTTTTTATCTTACATGCAATGCCGTCCGGATTTAAAAGCACGTCTCGGCATTACAGAAGTTATTCATGACTGCGTTTATGGGTCAGACTATACCATTTTAGTATAATTCGTAACGTCACTTTTAAGTGTCATTCATCCGCAGCCTCGATCTGAAATTGCCACTTTCAGATCGACAGTTTTACGACATTCTCGAATTGATGTCATTCAAAATTGATCATGGGGTTCTATTTTAGCCGATAACTACTATACTGTAAGTAACAATTTTTTATATCAAAATAACTGTTTGCTTAAAATATATGATGAATGGATTAATGTACCTTTTCAATAAAAAATAGAAACACGATGAAAATTTATTTTTAGGTACAAGACTGCGTCCCGGTATTTGAAATATCGTTATTTCGAAACACTTGTGGATGTATTAATATATGTACTAGCAACATGCGAAATCTTAAGACCAATTCTGTATTTCATATTTATGAAAGCAGTTGCGAACTAATGCATCCAATAGATTTGTAGTGTTTTGTTGTTGTTGTTTAATTTGTCATTTTCATGCTTCCTCTGATATAAAATGCAATATATCATCGTAACATACACATTAGTTTTTAACAGTTCAAACACTCACAAATATATGTTTTTATTGTTAGAATATAGAAATAGTTATTCAAAAAAGCACGGGGGGATACACTCATAAGACAACATGACCCACATCTAAAGATTTTTTCTTAAGATGCAAATCAGCTATAATGTGTTAACGTTTTTTTGCAAAACGTTCTGCAGAAATGCACAAAAAGACGTGTAAGATTAATTTACTCATGTTAGTTTCAAGGCAACACGTCAAGCATTTTATAACTTATTTATATTACCTGTCCTAACAACAAGGTTTGGTAGATAGTCCTTCCAGAAAGAGCACTCCTTCGCTCTTGATCCCTGCCCTATTGCCTTAGATTTATCAAGACGGTTGATGAGGTCTGGTCTAAGTATAATATGTTTACGGCTCACATTGTTAAATACAGGCCACTCATCCAAGAAGACGGAGCCCGGCGACCGGTTAGGGTCTCTAAAATGGAAATGTAGAAATAAATAAATAAATTAATTAATTAAATTAATAAAAAAATAAATAAATAAATAAAAATGAAATCTTTATAAATTCAGTTAAATGAATTATCGCCAGATCTTTTTTGAAATATCATAAAAACAACTACACTAAGGCTAAGCTAGAGCCCTGCAAATAATGATATCAAATGAAATACAGGGTTATCATATTTCTGAAAATCGACTGGTAAACACTATAAGGTCTGGGATTCCAATAATGGTTTTTTATTTGGGTTCACTAACTCAATAAATTTAACAAATAATCTGTTTTCCAAATGATAACCTGTGAATTTCACGGCATTTTGGTTTACCAATATCTCTAACAGCGTATTGTTCAATTGTTACTGTAAGATATTTCGGTCAAAAGAAAATACGAAAAATCTACGGAAGCACAAAGGGGTCACGGTGATTTCTTTTACATAATCTCGTGATACGTACTAAGAAACGCAAAAGAAATGTTGTTAACTCGTGGCCTAAGAAACAACAACGGATATAATTAGTTGTGATATGTAAAGCCACCTGCTAGCAAGATTTTTACAATTAATTTTTATTATCATTATCATTATTATTATCATAATTATTATCCTCATCATCATCATTATTATTATTCATCATCATCATAATTGTCATCATCATACTCGTCATCATCATCATCTTCTTCTTATTCATCATAATCATCATCATTATTATCATTTTATCATCATCGCTATTATTATTATTATTATTATAATTATCATTATTATTATTATTATTATTATTATTATTATTATTATTATTATTATTATTATTATTATTATTATTATTATTGTTCCACGAGATAATTCAAAGGAAAACCATCAAGCCTCCTACAAGCTTCCGTAAAAAGACGTAGCACTATTACTCTCGAAAATATGAAAATAATTAATCTTAATAGGAATGAAAAAAGTTGTAAAGTATAACCTAACATAACTTATGGCAAAACTGATTCTAGGATAAAAGAAAAGTAACAATATAAACAAAATCATAGAATAGCAAATGTTTTTTTTCCCCTGGAGTTTTACAATCGTAATTATCGCATAAGTAATAATAATAATAATAATAATAATAATAATAATAACAATAATAATAATAATAGTTGTTATAATAATAACAATAATAATAATAATAATAGTTGTTATAATAATAACAATAATAATAATAATAATAATAATAATAATAATAATAATAATAATAATAATAATAATAGTTGTTATAATAATAACAATAATACTAATAATAATAATAGTTTTTATAATAATAATAATTATAATAATAATAATAATAATAATAATAGTTGTTATAATAATAATAATAATTGTTGTTATAATAATAACAATAATAATAATAATAATAATAATAGTTGTTATAATAATAACAATAATAATAATAATAATAATAATAAAAATAATAATAATAGTTATAATAATAATAATAATGATAATAATAGTAATAATAATAATGTTGCGAGCACGTGGCCACACATATCGCATGGAGTGAGTTAATTGATGAAAATTCTTAATAAAATGAGCCGTGTCATGAAAGAAACAACATAGTGGGTTTGCGACCAGCATGGATCCGGAACAGCCTGCGCATCTGCGCAGTCTGATCAGGATCCATGTTGTTCGCTATCAGTTTCTCTACTTGTAATAGAGTTTGTAAGCGAACAGCATGGATCCTGATCAGACTGCGCGAATCATGCTCGTCGCAAACCCACTTTGTTGGTTTTGTCGTGACGCGGCTCAAATATAGATATACTCAACTCTTCACATTAACTGTTTTTGATTCAGTCTAGTGGAGCTAATTGAACCAATGCCCCAAAAAACAACCCCCTACAAAATCTTCCTAACCTGATGTTAAATAAATATGTGTGCAAATATGAAGGGACTTTTAAAACTTACACTACATAAACAAGACACAGAAATTTACAGTCACATTTTATCCCTTAGCACTTTGGGTTGGAAATTGTCATCTACTTTAATAGAAATATCATTTTCTTGAAATTTAAAAAAAAAAATAAAAAAAATGAAAGATTAAGGAACACCTAAAAAAGGTAAATATTTTGGAACCTGCCATAGGAAAAACGCCAAGTGAAAACATTGAGATAAAAAATGAATGGACGAATGGTAATATTTGTAAAGTTTTGATTAAACTGCAAATCTGCATGAGACTATATTATAATCACTTATTTCTTTCTATTATGTTTAAACATATTTAAGACACGGTTATTTAAGCTAAGTTGTACAAATGTACAGAAAAATAGTTAGACATTTTTCAAAATTGTCATTCCAAATACGAATTTCCAGGAAAAGTTGAACCAATTTTGTAAAGAAAAAAATCAAATTCCTTGACCTATTGTTTGCACAAATTATATAATAGCTACTATTCTGCCAGACGCACACATTTTACCCGTTGTCAATTTCTAAAATAGTGGTTGACAGGACTACATTTAAGGCGGACTTATACCCATTCAGAGTGTGTTAAAATATTTGGAAGCGGTTTAATTTCACTACTCGCTTTTTTATATGAAAAGGGATTCTAATTTGTTTTTGTAAATTTCACAAATTGCAACAATTTGGTGATTACCCAATCAATTGAACCTGAACATGTTCGACCATAAAATGGCATTAGTCACAAAAGCCAGACAATGTTTGATCCAAAGCTTGTTAAAGGGACTCCACATGACTTGACTAGTAGATTTTTTTTCGAAATTAATGCTCCATTTGATGTAAGTCTAAACCAATAACTGTGAGCAAAATTTCAACCCATTTGTTTTCTCTGTTTTCCAGGATAATCATTTTTCTGGTGAAAAATGGCCCATAATTAGAAAATGGTTGCAACGCTTTCACACAAATCTGGCTCAAAATAGCATAAAAACGATTTTCAATTTACTTCTTGTATAATTCTTAATTATCATTTGCATGTCTTTCGTTTTAAATTGTCCCAGATAGGTTTTTGTAAGGATTTCAAATGTAATCTTTTTGGGAGTTTGACCTCAGTGGAGTTCCTTTAACGATACTTATTCTTATAAAATTTACACCACAAAGTCCTCACTGATATTTTTCACATAATTATATTGCGCGAAAAATGGAGAAGATTTTTACTTACCCAGTTTTAGCAAAATTGGTCCAGTATCGCATTATTTTCCTAGAGAATATTTTCTCTTCATCAGTATATCCAAATGTTCTGTTCGTTGGTTCTCCGAACACAAAATTTATCTCATCGGCATGTAACACACCGGCCCATTCTGGCCAGTGATGCCTAGTTGATCGGTGATCAAACACATAATAGTACACGTTACTACCAGCAGATGCTGCATGTATCGCAAAATCAACACAAGGACATATGAAATTAAAATCCCCTACAGCCATATCAAGTTGCCAAGCATTCATTTTCTGATCGTCCGGATTTACCCAGTTCCGGTATTGAAATTTTATCGCCTCCTTTCCAAAAGAGTTTAAGAGTCTCGGATAATATGGGTGATAAGAAAATATGTCATCAATTAGAAGGTCAAAATGATTTTGACTAACTTGAGGCGATTGATAGAGAGAAAAAATATCATGAGAGTATAAAAGCCAGAAACTTGCCTCGTTTGTATTATGTCCTAACAAAACTGGACATTTCTTAAAGTTGCCTTTAATTAACGACTGTTCAGGATCCTCTATTAAAAAAGTCCCATCAATTATAGGCACAAAAGGGAATCTTACAACACCGTATACAACAGTGTCCCATTCCACAGGCAACAACTTCTCGGGAGAGACACCTCGTAAACAATTAACAATGTCGGTATTTTCCGGATACTCACACTGGAACGCTTTGGCAAATATATGTGATCTATTTTTAGCCTCCTTTTCTGAAAGGGTAGCCCATGCTGCTTGGGGCGCCCCACTTTGTAAAATTACCCTATGAAATTTAGCATGGCTCAATGGGGACAGCATATGCATTCCCACGCTGACAGCGCCGGCACTCTCTCCAAATAATGTCACTGAATGCGCGTTACCTCCAAAATAATGAATATTTGATTGGACCCAATCAAGAGCCATAACTTGATCCATCATACCAGCATTGCCCGGGGCCTCCGGATGAAAAAGAGAGAAATATCCCAGAGCTCCTACCCTGTACTGCATAGAAACAACAATGATGTCATTTTCGGCAGCTATATATCTTCCGTCATATATGTCAAGAACTGACGATCCGGAATAAAATCCGCCGCCAAATATCCATATCATAACCGGTTTACTTATAACCGACGAATCAGTTCTTGGCACCCACACATTTAAATACAAACAATCCTCACTGCAGTTCGTATTTGGATTCCAAACTTTTGCTCCTTCATGGCCTGGGAATGCGTTATCCTCTCCTTGCCAGCATGCTGCCGGTTTTCTCGTTGCATCTCGAACACCGTTCCATGAGTCTGGAGGAATAGGGTGCTTAAACCGTAAATCCCCTACAGGTGGCTTTGCAAAAGGTATTCCCCAGTAAATATCCACTTCAGTTCCATGAACATTGACCCGTACTCCCTCGATCTTGCCCTTTGTGGTACGAGAGATCGGCCCAAATCCGGCCCATACAATGCTCGGAACAATCGCCGTTAGTACAGTGCCTAAGGAAATAAGCTGATGTAAAGATTCTTGAAATTGCATGATTAAAAGATCCCTGCGAGTTTTGTCGATGTGTAGCCCTGGAACAAAGAAATGAAGTACATTAGCCTAGAAAAAAATGTTGTTTACCATAATCAAACCGGAGCTATGCAATAATAAATACAAAGCGTTTCTTTACTAAACTAAATTGCAAATATCTTCACATATTCTACACAACAAATAAAACAAAAGGAATTAGCTCAAATAGAACAAGAGCCATGTTAGCATGGCCATCCCCCGCCGAATGTATTTGCTCATTGTAAGAATATATATGTAGTTGAGCAGAATAATTCAATTTAAAGAGGTCTTTTGGTAATGAAAATTGATGGCTGAAGTGATTACAGATTTGAAACCTATGTGAATACTGATGGCTGAAAATAACAAAGGGCAATAACTGAAAAATAATGCAGGGTAGAGTTATCATTCTTATGTGCTGCACTCCTCCTCAATGAGATGTATCCACCTATAAAGTTTCAAGTTGATACCTCTAACACTTTTTGTGATAAGCTCTGGACAAATAGTATGAAAAATAACATAGGGCAACAACTCAAAAATTATAAAGGCTAGAGTTATCATTCTTGAGCATAACATTCATCGTCAATAAGATCTATCCACCTATGAAAATTCATGTTGACATCTCAAAGACTTTTTGAGTTATGTTCCACTCAGGTGAAAAAATAAGTTTGAAAAATTACAAAGGGCAATAACTCAAATATTATGAAGGGAAGAGTTATCATTCTCATACATTGCACACTTCCTGAGTTAGATATATCCACCCATGAAGTTTCACGTTGCTATCACAAAGGTTTTATTAGATATGCACTGGACAAAAATTAAGTTTGAAAATTAGCAAAGGGCAATAACTCAAAAATTATGCAGGGTAGAGTTATCATTCTTGTGCATAACACTCTTCCTCAATATGATCTATCCATCTATTAAGTTTCAAGTTGATACCTCTAACACTTTTTGTGATAAGCTCCGGACAAAAAGTATGAAAAATAACAAGGGGCATTAACTTAAAAATTATAACGGGTAGAGTTCTCATTCTTGTGCACAGCATTCCTCGTCAAAAAGATCTATCCACCTTTGAAGTTTCATGTTGACATCTCAAAGACTTTTTGAGTTATGCTCCACTCAGGTGAAAATAAAGAATGAAAAATAACAAAGGGCAATAACTCAAAAATTATGAAGGGTAGAGTTATCAATCTTATGCATTGCAATCTCCTGAGTGAGATTTATCCACCCATGAACTTTCATGATGATATCTCAAAGGCTTTTTGAGTTATGCTCTGGACAAAAATTAAGTTTGAAAAATAACAAAGGGCAATAACTCAAAAATTATGCAGGGTAGAGTTATCATTCTTGTGCATAACACTCTTCCTCAATATGATCTATCCATCTATTAAATTTCAAGTTGATACCTGTAACACTTTTTGTGATAAGCTCCGGACAAAAAGTATGAAAAATAACAAGGGGCATTAACTTAAAAATTATAACGGGTAGAGTTCTCATTTTTGTGCACAGCATTCCTCGTCAAAAAGATCTATCCACCTATGAAGTTTCATGTTGACATCTCAAAGGCTTTATGAGTTATTCTCCACTCAGGTGAAAATTAAGTATGAAAAATAACAAAGGGCAATAACTCAAAAATTATGAAGGGTAGAGTTATCAATCTTATGCATTGCAATTTCCTGAGTGAGATCTATCCACCCATGAACTTTCATGATGATATCTCAAAGGCTTTTTGAGTTATGCTCTGGACAAAAATTAAGTTTGAAAATAACTAAATAATGCAGAGTGGGTGCACTGCACTCCTCCTCAATATGATCTATTGACCTATTAAGTTTCAAGTTGATACCTATAACGCTTTTTGAGATAAGCTCCGAACACAAATTATGAAAAATAACAATGGGCAATAAGTCAAAAATTATAACGGGTAGAGTTATCATTCTTGTGCACAACATTCCTCGTCAAAAAGATCTATCCACCTATGAAGTTTCATGTTGACATCACAAATACTTTTTGAGTTATGCTCCACTCAGGTGAAAAATTAAGTATGAAAAATAACAAAGGGCAATAACTCAAAAATAATGAAAGGTAGAGTTATCATTCTTGTGCACTGCAAACCTCCTGAGTGAGATAAATCCACCCATGAAGTTTCATGTTGATATCTCAAAGGCTTTTTGAGTTATGCTCTGGACAAAAAATAAGTATGAAAATAGCAAAGGGCAATAACTGAAAAATTATGCAGGGTGGAGTTACCAATGATATGCACTGCACTTCTCCTGAATATGATCTATCCACCTATGCAGTTTCAAGTTGATACCTCAAATACTTTTTGAGATATGCTCCTGACAAAAATGTCGGACGGAAGGACGGACGGACGGAAGGACAGACGGACGGAGACTAATTCTATATCCCCCGCCGCCTTTCGGCGATAATTAAGTAAACAGTTATTATACTTCTTTTCGATGACATCTATTCACCTTTAATGTATCAAGTGGATATTCCAATTTCAAACTCTTTTCGAGTTATATTATGCATGAAAATAACAAAGGGCAATAACTCAAACATTATTGAAAGGAATAAATAGACTAACTATTAGTGGTTTTTTTTATTATTTATATAACATTTCTTTTAATGTTGTGAACACTATTGTCAAATTTAGAATTAGCTGCAGACGACACTTACCCCTAGCGCCCCCTTTTGGAGACGGTGACAACAGTATTATCCAACGTCACTTAGTACACTTTTACACTTTATGCCCATGATCACACTTGTTCTATAAATAAACAAAACATCATTGTATTATATAATTGCATCTATATTGTATCGAAATTAAGGAATACGGGCATGACTGTGTGTCGCCATATTGGTATAATTGTCAGAATACCTTCACTCGTGACACAAATGTACCAAATCTATGCTTGACAGAAACTGTCGAAAGAAAGCAATGGCGGCTTTTACACATACTAAAACTTCATGACTTTAAAATTGTTTGTTTGAATCTTGAGGCATGATGCGTTAATCATTCTGTAGCTTCTTATAATGATTAACGCACCATGCCTCAAGATTCATGCTGATTACTATGAAATGTTTTTAAATGTATTAAAAAGTAAAATTATGTCAAGTAAACAAAAAAGTAATTTACGCCTTGAAAAAAAGCAAAAAGGCCAGAATATGTAAAAATAGGCCTTAGTACACTTTTTTTTAAATATGGTGGTAAATTGTGCAAAATCAGACATTTAACGCATATAACATGTAAATTATTCTTAAATCTTTCATCTTTTTACTTTCGTTAAAGTTTAAGTACATTTTCTTCAAGTTTCTTGAAATATTTTGGCACAACTGGAGGCATGCAAATTTAAGTATAAAAAAGTATAAAAAAAGTAAGTCTTAACCTATTTTATGGTGATTAGGAAATTTAATCGGCTCCTCTACATATTTTATGCCTAAACAGAGATAAATTTATATGGGAAAATAATAATTAATACTTTTTTTGTGATCAGATAATCAGATGAATATATAGACAATAAATTCCGCCTCTAGAGTTCGAACACTGAAAGTTGTAATAAACAATGGCGTGGCTGTGACAGGAAATGGCTGCAACGACTGATATTCCTTGTGGATGCTTCAATTTCCATAGAAAATATATAAAGGATATTTACTCACTAAACGATGAGTGCAAAAAAAATTCATATCAAACATATAACAAAATAAGTCAGTCTCGGGTTTGAATTGCTAAAATCAATACTTGACATTTAGTTTATAAAAAGTGTTTTCTAAGTTTAGTCTTGGGTTTTTTCATTGGTCAGTGTACATTCTGAGCTAGAAACTGACCAGTCAGATACCTGAGATCTGGGATTAAGCTTGTAAATTGCCTTTATAACCATATACTCTGGCCATATGACGACTCGTTATAGAATTTTACAATATTTAACTAATTTTCTTTGAAAGATAATTTTACCAACTTCGGTATGCGAATGTTTCTTATTGATCAAAATGCGCACAAACATTTAGTTACGATGGGTTATCCAAAAATTCGTTGTCTTTCTTTGGCGCGTAAAATATATTTGAGATATCAATTTGAAAATCTTACACTGCTTAGAAGAATAAAAAACAAATAAACACAGAAAAAATCATGTTAGTAGCTTCTTATATTACAACAATATTTAATTTTACATGAACATATTATGTAGTATTTTATAAATTTTAACTCTCGTGTTTGAATGTATGAATATTCTTTTATCTTTTGCGTATTTTTATTTTTGTATTTACTTTTGTAGATAAAAGACCTCTTTATTTTTATATAAAATGTATGCATATATAAGTTAAAATTATTATTTATATATCAATTGTGAAATACAAATATGTAAATAACTTAATGATAGGATTTGTTTACATTTAGGAACAGATCATTTCTTTCTTGCCCAACAAAATAATTTACCATTGTTATAACCTAATTCCTTTCAACTTATCTTTTCTCATTATCTTTTACAGTGTTAACTCAAATGTATACAGTAAGTTCAAAGAAAATACCAACAAAAATAATATAAACACTTAAAAATCAAACAAAACTTTACCTGAAGAAAAAAATCAATGTTAAAATCCAAAATTAAACTTTTCACAGGTGATATAATTATGACCGCCTTATTCTGCACGTATGTTGAAAGAAAGTTCGTTTACAACTGCCTATTTCTTGGCACACGATCTATTTTGTGTAAAGGTCACAAAAACGAATCTATGTTATTTGCCAGATACCTAGAAATGTAGCGTTCATTTTAGTCCTTCTACTCATTAATGCCATTACCACAGTGAGAACACAAGAATCATTGTTTTCTTTTTCTGGAACAATGCTTCTAATAAAGAAAGAACCTAAATGACCTAACTTTTGTTTGTTATACACTTGAAAACGTAATTGGAAAATCAAATTGTTCAAGATTCTCTCTTGAACATTTACTGTTTCTGAAAAATGCTTTGTCTACTTATTTTATGACCTTTAAAATGTGATGTGTAGGTAAAATAGTAGGAGAACGTTACGTAGAATTTGTTTCAATTTCTGTCGTCTGATTAATGACAATTATTATCTATTTAATCCAATAAATTAAAGTGAACAAGGAAAGTAAAATAAATATTTAAAGCTTAACCATGGAGCTAAATATATATCTGTGGCTTGACGTAGGTGATTTACTGGAAAGAAATATATAACATTTATAATTATTATATCTTGGTAATCAGACTCAAATGTTGAATTCTTCTTAAGCCGGTGCTGGGGGGGGGGGTAGTTTGCATTTTACAATACCGTCCACGAACGGGCTCAATCAAACCGAGTCTACAGCATTTTCAGTTTTGCCGTTTTGAACTTTCTTTAGGGATTCTTATTTTCTGTATTTGATTGTATCAAATCCTATATGTGATAATTAAATCTTCTTGCAAAAAGAAATGTATTAAATGAATGATAAATACTTTAAGTGAGATTAATACAATTAGAGTACGAGTTCTTCACTTTCGTAAACATTAAATTGCCTAATTGTTCCAATTTATTTAGTAATATAAAAAGGTTAACGGTATTTAAGCTTGTTAAAGCAATGAAAAAAAATACGACGGTTCCAATTTGTTATAATCCGGAGTTCTTAAGAAAAATATATAACTAGACATGTTTTCGCCCTGTAAGAAAATATTTAATTGCAGTAACTATGGAAACAAAATTAATTCAAATTTCATGAAAAAACGAATGTTTGGTATTAAAGATTTGATAACAATTGGTTATTACATCGAGACAATATCAACAAAATATAAGAAAATAATGAAATTCAATCTTAATTGCAGTTAGATGTAGCCAATATTCTTAATATTAATTGATGCAATAGAGATCTCCCTATGGTTTCTCGTTCAAAGCTGTTTGTAGAGCACAATTGCGTTTGAGATATTTGTGTTTTATTTCTTAAATCATTTGAACAAAAAGATAATTGTACACTTTAAAATGCTTTTATGTCATTTTGTGTAAAATATAACCCCAAGAAATAAATTTCTTTTATAAAAGTACACGATAAACCAAAGAAAAAAATCGTCACAAGTAAATAATTATTTCTGTACAATTCTAGCAATGTACTATTACAAGTTTATACACCATTCAAAATTTCAATTTCGATGTAGTTGGTATAGTTAATTAGTTTATTTTAGACATGTTTATATGCGTGGTAGCTTTACTTATACATATACCAAGGTAAAATTTATAAAAGATGCATGCGACATTTCTGTAATTTAATTACACAGTAATTGTATACATATTTATGCCTTACAGTAATTACATCTAAACGTTTTAAGTTACATTATGCCTCAGACATCCATAGTTTTTAAAATCTTTAGAAATGTCAAACATGTGTTTCATAGTGTTAAAATAGTGGATTAAGAGCATGTTAGAGATTTAAAAACTGAAAAAGTAGCGCTGAACATGCAGTAATGTGTTGTAAAAGTAGCAAAATGAAAACCATGTTGTATTTTGACTTCCATACAAAATCACTAATACTATTTCAATATAATTATACCAATTGCCAACAGTGCTAAAGATGCAAAAAAATTTATGTATGTAGCAAATAAGTACATATATATATATTTGAAAACTGTAACAAGATACGAAGAATTAACAGTTTTTGAGAGAAAATAATGATAGCATTTGTGAGGCATAATGGTCTTTAAACCAAGATTTATGCTATATAAATATAACACATGTAGGTAAAATGAAATCGATAAATAAAAATTACTATAATGTGTGTTGTCGTTTCTTGTATATGTGGCTTATAAAAAAAGTGTGCATGAATAAGAACTGAGATGGGATCATGTACAAGTGCAATGATAAGATAAGAAACTTACAAACTGTAAATGTCAAACTGACAGAATTCTACGATACCGTGTTTACGTGTATTTCGAACTATTGTCTTAAATAAATTCGACTCAGCCAGTATGTTTGAAGTGTGTAAAATAAACTTTAAGTCGTACGTTTGCAGACTTTCTAATAGTTCAAACAAACAAAACCCTCCGATGTTTATAAAACGAAAATCCTGCATCTACCTAAACATTAGAAAAACGTGGCCTCCCTGTCAACAAACAAGTGCAGTGCGATTATTTGTTGGTTTAAAACAAAGCTTATGGGGATTTTGTATAGTAAAAACCGGGTGCATAATGATGTAAAAATCATTTGTTGATTTGAAACAAAGCATAAGGGATTTTGTACAGTAAATATTGGGATATAAAGTGATGGAAAAAGAGATCAGCGGCGGAATATTTGTTTACAATATTAAATACAAAGATTAACCAATGTGTGGAAGGTTTTGTTCAATTGTTATTGCGAATAATCTTACGGTTAGGAAAAAGAAATTTCTGCTGTCAATGAATTATGACTAAAATTTTCCTTAAGTTTTCACCTGCTTTTTCTCAGACATGACTTAGGATATTTGTATTGCCATTTTACTTCCGAGTTTATGTGTGGAATTTACATTATTGCAAAGGAAAGGACATCAAATAATCATGAAAACGAAAGGCAATCTGAGATATAAATTTAAATGAGCATATGTATTTGTGAACAAGGTATTTCCAGTATCCAGGGTCCGGAAATCGATGACTGTAGCGGTGTATCAGCTATGTTATTGCCAATGTATATGATGAAAACCCCTGAAATTCTAAAAAAAAGTACTAGTACTTGGTTTGGGTTTCAAATGTATTATATCAGACTCTTGTTGAAATCTTGGCACAGCCATGGTCTCCCAATCATATCTTCTGATA